AATACAACTAGTAATAAAATAATAATAATAGTAATAATAGAAGAGTGTATAAAGCCAGAATAAGTTGGAATTAAAAATAATACAATAATAAGATGGAATAAAAACAACTAGTAATAAAATAATAAAATGATAGTAATAATGAAGAGTGTATTGAGCCAGAGTGTTTTGATAAAAATGAGCTATAACATGATGAAACACGTGTTAATATATGAATATTTATATATATTTAAATGAGTGAAGTACCCTTTTATTTTAAAAAACTATTATTTATCGTTAGCATTTTAACCATTAACGTGGCCCGAATTGTATTCCGCGCACCTGTCTCACATGACTTATCCGACTGCAATGTCCTTCTTGTGGAAACTATCATTGACACCACGTGTAAACTGTTACTTACCTTTTAGCGTCGAAAGCATTTGACACTTGATTTAAAATAAATGAATATCCATGGTGTCAGGAAAGATCTCTTTCCAAATAAGTTAGTGTTGTGACACCATCACACGCTCTATGTCAACAGAAAATCGATCGAACCCCGGGACACGGACATCAAATAACATTAAAATCATCTCAATGCGACTCACGGCGACAGTAGCGATAAGGACTGTCACCAAGGCAACATATCTTGCACTGATAAAATTCCGGGATTATTGCAGTTGGCGCAGTCGGAGACTTTTATCTGGTTTTTCCAGACGATACCAAAGATTTTGTTTGGAATATCTCAACCAGAGCTATGACTCTTTTGTAGGCGTTATAACGAATTGAAGCGACATTTCTTTGACCGTATCATGGTTATTGGGCAGGACGTTATTAGTTTGTTGGTAATATTTATTGGTTATTATTTTAGCCAACAGATATTCTCAGATGATAGGGAGGATATCTTACTCACTTGCATATATTCTCTCTCTCTCTCTCTCTCACTCACTCAGTCTACATATCTCTCTATGTAAAAATATCCTTAACGAAATTTAGAACAATTTACACAAAAAATCACTGTAAACAAAAATAAAAAGATTGAGTTATTCTATCTTAGCTAGAGATGAATCTTAATTCAAAACAATATAGAAAAGTGTTGAAACTTGAATAAAGCATGGAATAATAATAATACAACACAAAATGTACTTAAACAAAATGTATTGACACAAGAACGTGTACACAATATTTACAGATAGTTACTTATATTCTTGGGAAGACCGTTCCTAGAATGGGTTGACTTAGTCGCAGTCGGGCAGAGTCTCTGGATTGGATCTTCTTCTCCCCCGTCTTCCCGGTACCAACCATATTTATATGGTCGGCACTCCACTATGTAAATTAGGTGGATCGTACCACAGTAAAAAGCCATGAAGAAGATAATTCGCCAGTACATATTGCCTTAAATTTAGAAATAATAATAACTTACTGATACAACACCTTAATAATTAACCCATAGCTGGGGAAACAGAGATAAAATCACACATTTTCCAAGTTCATTTGCACATAAGTGAATATGACAAACCCAATTGGAATTGGAACTCGCCTCTCCAATTAAAAATTCAGAAGCGTTATCCATTACACCATGCATACATTCAAACTTAAGGAAACTGGTATTCCCAAACACTCACCCATCTAGGTATTGACCAGGCTCGATGTTGCTTAACTTCAGTGATGGTATGAGAACCAACGTTTCAACATGATATGTTCGCAAACTAACCTTTCAGGAGATTGCATCGTCAGTATCAACAAACTAAAAAAAAAAATCATATTAATTTTCTCCCGACCGGAAGGGACATGGTAGAAAAAAAAAAACTAAGTTGAAGAAGAATTTGAAGAAGTAGAATTTGAAATTGAATTTGAAGAAGAGTAAGAAGAAGAATTTGAAGAAAACTTTGAAGAATCTGAACAATTTGTAAAGGAATTTGAAGAATTTAAAGAAGAAGAAGAAAAAGAAGAAGCTCGTGTAGATGATTGGCAGAACAGAGTTTAGGAGATAGCAAAAAGACAAACTAAGGGCTATAAAGGATATGACGTTGTGGAGAGCTATGATCGTTCATGTTCTGAAAGGACAATGTACATCAAAGAAGAAAGAGATTGTCTAAATGTTTGGCAGAACGGGAATTAGGAGATATAGCAAAAAGACAATATTTCCTAACCGCTACAAAGAAAATGACATCGCGAAGAGCCGTGATCGCCCAAGTTCTGAAATGACAATGCACAGCAAAGAAAGACTTTACTAATGGCTACAACGGACATGATGTTGTGGAGAGCCATGTTCTGAAAGGCCAATACACATCAAAGAAGAAGAATGAGCTCGTACGAATGGTCGGCAGAACAGGAATTACGAGACAGACTTTACTAATGGCTGTAATGGACAGCGATTTGCGAAGAGTCATTTTCGCCCACGCCCGGAAGGGACACGGTACATAAAAGAAAAAAAACAGTTGGGAGAAAAGTATTTAGGATGGCACATTGTTCATGGAAACTATTTCTCTTTCAATTTTCTTTCGCCAAATTAAAACATTTTCTGATTTAATTAAAATTCAAATCAACTAAATTCACTCCTATCGCGAAAAAAAAAACAAACAAAAACTATGACGTGCATATAATGATAACGAAATGTTCATCTCACGTTTCATTAAATTTTGCTCAGTAGAACTTCACGTCACGTCATATAATTTGTTTTGTTGAAAGAATTCACTCTAAACAGTTTCATGTGCTACACTTATCAACAATTTCATTGTCCTTGAGGGAAAATTTGAAATTAAACGGCAAACTGAAATAACTAGCGGTGAAAATTTGTTAGTATGAAGTATATTGATGTGGGTGCCAAAGTTGGGACCACAGAAGTAAAACACGGAACACGGATTAAAAGTAAGAAAGATATATTAACAACAGGTTACAGAGATAGTGTAAGCGGAGCTTACTATAACACTCTATGTCGCCTACTTAATATAGGCCTGGAAGAGTCTATTGTGTAGGTAGTTTCCGGTCTTAAAATATATATCAATGTCAAAAATGGTACGCTTCCGTTCATTTGAAATCATTCGGAGTGACGAAGTCGCTGAAGTGATTTGCTAAGCGTAGCTTAGATGTAGCACAAGGCCGAAAGTACGATTATTTTCTAAGCGAACCTTAGATGCGGACGAATCGACATTGCATTTAAATTTTTGAAGTTCAAAGTTGACTGGGGAGCAGAAAACCGGAAGTGACTTCCACATGCGAGAAGAGTCGGGAGAAGAAATAGTGGAAGCATAGAACTTACGGTTACTTCTAACCATTTGAAATGTAAAATGATGAGACCGCGCCGCCAATCTAGTACTGCGATTAAATTCATGCGGTCTAGATATCATAGAGAAAAGTTCAACAGAACAATTACCATGAAATTATTTACAGAAAAAACACAAGGAAGCCACAATACGGCGGTGAGAAAGTCCCTGGAGCCGAGATACCAGGTAAGGACCAAAAACATTGTTGCCTGTTCCACCCTGTTTTCCAGATTGACATTAAACATAGTTTATAGCTTATATCGGTTAACGCTTTTTAAAAATCATTTCACCTCAAGCAAGGCAATAAAGCCTCTAAGACGCAAGGGATTGCTGAGTGTGAGAGAATATGAGAAAATATACTATTAATGAGTAGAGAACAATAACAGAAAAGGAATTAAGAAGACTGAAGCTAACGATTGACATTGCACGTAAATTCTTAGAGATCAAATTTGACTGGAAGCAAAAAGCCGGAAAGAAATCTCCACAAGCGAGAAGTGCGAGTGAAGAAAATGTTAGCAGAGAACTTGCTGTTATCTCTAGTCATTTCAACTGTAAAAATGATGAGACGTTTCCGCCTAAATAGTACGGCGTTTAAATTCATACGGTCGAGGTATCATAGAAGAAAGTTCATCAATACAATTTCAGCCGTAAAATGTCTAGACGTTACTGCGAATCTAGTATTGCACTTAAGTTCATAAAGTTTAGGTAAACTTCGCGGGAATTTCACCAGAACAATTACCATGGAAATATTTAGAGAAAAAGTTACAAGGAAGCCACGTTACGGCGATGTGAAGTTGACTGAAACTGTGATACCAGATCAGGCCCAATAATATTGTTTTGAGATGTTCACGGTGTCTTTGGCTAATGATGTGCGCAAATTGTTTCAGGTTTTTGTTTTAGAATACATAACTTTTCCATCGAAAGCAGTGTCTAACGACGACACCGACAGTGATGTTGGTTTGAGCAGACCTTAGTTACAGTTTCTGGGACAACGCGTTATCCGCCGTGATCAACAAGGCCAGCACGCTCAAAACCGCGGTCACGATGACGGCTCCCATAAGATACTTTTTGATCACGTTCAGCCTCAAGGCCACCTATATCTATCTATCTATCTATCTATCTATCTATCTATCTATCTATCTATCTATCTCTCTCTCTCTCTCTCTATATATATATATATATATATATATATATATATATATATATATTTTACCACTGCCTGATGAGATCCTATGATATGCATCGAAACATTAATGCATTTATACAATGGAAATATGTATGTTCGAATGTAATAACATATAATAAAGAATTATCGCTTTACTTTCGTGTTGAGCTCTATTTTAAATTAATTTTAATTCTATGAACGTTTGAATTTATATTTGATTCGTTCTCATTGCACTTGGTTATATATATATATATATATATATATATATATATATATATTCCCAGATATATGAGTAGTCACTGAAGACAACACCGAGTGTTGACAGTCCGTTTAATGTTTGAATTAATCTTCAGTCGATGTATATGCATAGGAAGAGAAACATATTAATCATATTAATCTTCAGTTGATGTATATATATATATATATATATATATATATATATATATATATATATATATATATATATGTGTGTGTGTGTGTGTATAGGAAGAGAAACATATATGGTAGAAGGACAATTGTAATTGATTCAGGGACACTTATTTAGAAATGGCTGGTTCGATACGGAGTCTGTCAGTGGCGGTCAATTTTAGTTTAAATTACAGCATAAAATCAAGAAAATGACATTCGTAATATCTTCTCAGCGAACGATATAGGCAGAGTGTAGAAAGACCACTAAACAGATAGATAGATAGATAGATAGATAGATAGATAGCAACTGACTAACATATAAATGTGAACAGATTGAAATAGATATATAGAAAAGAATATGCATATTTTTATATTATTCGGACTATTGTCCTCATCTTTGTCGCCATATTTATTACAACGTTTAGGCCGTTGTACGCCCGGCCTTCTTTAGGTAGTTGGAATGTCGAACTGAACCCTTTATTCCGCTCACTGGGGTAGACTGTTCTAGTTCCACGTGTTTAATGGATGTCAGTTATCAGTTATCTCTTGTAAATTCCCTCTGAAAGTTCTCCACTACCTTAACCGGGCATTGAACTCACACTCTTTGGGTCCTGTCACTAGATCTAACCAACGCCTTTATCCACTATGCCATGTGTCCTTGAGGCCGAAACATTATAATAAATATGGTGACAAAGATGAGGACAATAGTCCGAATAATGTAAATAATGTACATAATACCTCATCTCAAAAATATAGACAGATACTGAAAGGCCGAAACGTTGTAATAAATATGGCGACAAAGATGAGGACAAATGTCCGAATAATGTAAATAATGTACATAATGCCTCATCTCAAAAATATAGACAGATACAGAAAGGAATATGCTTAGCTATATTATATATATATATATATATATATATATATATATATATATATATATATATATATATAGATAGATAGATAGATAGATAGATAGATAATGGAAAAACTGAGATAGATAGATAGATAGATAGATAGATATGAAGAAAATCAGATAGATAACGAGTTAGATAGATATGAAGAAAGAAAAAAAGTGATACATAGATAAATAGATAGATTGCAAGGTAGATACACAGGTAGAAAGTATGATATATAGATATGAAGAAAGTAAGAAACTGATAGATATGAAAAAAGAAAAAGGAATAGATAGATAGATAGATAGATAGATAGATAGGAACATGCTTAGCTATATCATGAATACGATAGATAGCTACATAGATATGAACAGAATAGATAGATAAACAAATATGAAGAAAGGAACAATAACAGAGATAGATAGATAGATATGAATAAAGGAAGATAGATATATTGATAGCTATATATAGAGTAAGTATAACAGAAAGATAAACAGATATGAAGAAAGAAGGAAATATATATATATATATATATATATATATATATATAGAGAGAGAGAGAGAGAGAGATAGATATAGATAGGTAGATACATAGATATGAAAAAAAGGAAGAGAGAGAGATAGAGAGTTAGCTATATCAGGAATACGATAGATAGATATGATAGAAGGAAGAAAGTGACTGATAAATAGATAGACAAATATGAAAAAAGAAAAGGGGTAGATGGATAGATAGATATGGAGAAAGTAATAGATAGATAGATAGATAGATAGATAGATAGATAGATAGATAGATAGATATAAACATGTTTACCCATATCAAGAAAACGATAGATAGATAAATATAGATGAAGTAAGAAATATAGATACGTAGAAAGATACACAAAATATATATATATATATATATATATATATATATATATATATATATAGAGAGAGAGAGAGAGAGAGAGAGAAAGAGATAAAGAGAAAGAGAGAAAGAGAAAATGTGATCGCATACAGTTCAGTAAGTAATGAATTATAAGTATAATGGTCTTTTTCTATAACTGACATCCGACCATATGACGTACAGCAGCTTGACATAAAACCTGTCAACGACCGCCATATATTATTACGAAGTGTTGATATAATTCCATTTGGACTATAAGAGAAATAAAAACGTTTAAAGAAAATAATAAAAACATCGATACACTATCAATTGTGCCTGTACTGAATATTAGACAGCCGTCATGACAATGACATTTTTTTTTCAACATAATAAATTCAACAATCTTCGCTTTTAGCATCCAGCCAGACTAGGATCAAAGTGTAGTCTCTGTCCAAAGGCAGATAAACAGTATTTTGCCTTTCAATTGTGTCTCAATTGCGCAACTGAGAATATTATAGGCTCGGGTGCACGCGCTTGGGTTCTGCACAAACATCTGACCTTGTGCCACGTTCTGCAAACGTGGGCGGTAAGTAAATACTGTCTCAATATTTGCCTTCGAGTGGACAAACTACATTTCAATTGTTTTTCGACAGAACAAAACAAATGAATGAGAGAAACCTGGTCCCAAGGATTCGAAATCTGCGGCCGCACCTCCCACATTTCACTGTAAAGGGAGTCGTGGTTTCAGGACTTTTACCACCAGACCATCGATTATATTATCTTGGACCACGTATATATATATATATATATATATATATATATATATATATATATATATATATATTCTGTTTATACGTTATTTTTCTAGATATAATTTATTTAAATAAATGCTCTTTTTTTAATTAAACAATATTAATTACATTATATATA